ACACAACTGAGTCCAAGTGGCAATTACAAGAAGCCCATGGCGCTGGGCCTATGACTCGCCTATTTAACAGAAACCGCATCACACACTGCCAGTAAGCACACAGAGCCCCATGACAGTCCCACAGCAACTGACACTCCCTTGCTCTGCGGGTGCCCTGGTACAGGGAGGCCCATGAGGCCCCACGCTCCCCACCACACAGAGAAACCACAGCAAAACCTGGGAAATGAGGCCAAGTTCCTGCTTAAAGCCCCTGCCTTGTCACCAGGGTAGGGTCTACAGAGCCACCTTCAGGGTGGCAGGGTTCCAGGCCCTGGGTCCCCCCTGGCTGAGTCTGAAAGAGGGGCCACCAGAGGTGGTGGGGAAGGGAGGGAGGAGCTCTGTACCTTCTCAATTCAGGGAGCCCTGGGCCTCAGAGATGAGCATGCAGAGCCTGCCACCTGCCTGACTCCTTACTGCCGAGCACCACTGCTCCAACTTCCTTGGCTGCACTAGAAGGGGGAGCTGGCCCTGGCAGGCCTGTACGGCACCAGGTCACTGGTATTCTAGTGGCTCACCCCAAAGAGAAATGTGCTACTCCAAGTGTGGCCTCGGTCACAGCTGTGCACCTGGAGTTCATCAGCTAAAAACTAGTCAGCAGCTTGGCTGGAAGGCAACACCCAAACCCCAAATGCCAGAAAGAGATCCGTGCCAGGCACAGGGCACTGACATGGCACATACAGACAGCAGCATTCCCCGGGTGAAGCAGAGCAGGGAAATCAGCTGTGATAGTGGCTGCCTTCTCAGGCAGGCCGGCCTCAGGCTGTGGGAAACCAGGCATCTCACAGTCTCCACCATGACCCTCTGCTGCATTCCAGCCTCAGGGTTTGTTGATACCCTGGTTATGCTCTTAGCAGTGTCTGTCATCTGTGTCATCAGCCCTCTTCCTCAGACCTGTTGGGCAACCCGAAAAGAAGGATCAGGTTGTACCTTTCCATGCTTGCTCAGGGCCTCCAGATACAAGTCCTGGCCAATGCTTCCCCTGGCTCCACCCTGGGACTGTCCCCATCTGTCACTGTACTTTCAAAGTGCCACCCCCCTCAGCCAGGTGGTCAAGGTGCAGAGGGCCAGCCACAGAGGGGCAGCTCTACTCAAGGGCCTGTAGAGGGCAGGCTGGCACTCTGGAACCTGGAGGGTCCCTGGGCATGGTCCTGGACCCCTGGACACCTGAGGCTGTGTTCACCTGACAGCAACAGGCAGGAATCCCCATGTGTAGCAATGCCTGATGCTGGTGGGTTTCCAAAGAACCCCTCCCCCAGGAAGATTGCACACATGCAGACTGCACAGGGCTTGCAGGGTCTGCTGGGAAAACACACAGTCAGAAAGTCTTGCAGGCTTCTCCTAGCTAGAGCCCACTCATCTCAAATCTGAACCCAGAACATCACAGAAAGAATCCAGATAAACATCACTCAGCAAAACAGTATTACAAGGAGTGTTCCCCCTGCAAGAGAGGAGACAGCAAAAGTTGATAGTCCTGACCCTGGAAGTGGCTGGGGGCTGCAGATGAGAACCATCTCTGTGGGGGGTACAGCCAAGAGTAGTAATCAGCCATCAAACCAACCATGACCATCTACCTGGGCACCATCATCCACCCACAGATAACTCCTGCATTCTGGCTCATCATCAATGTGCTCTTTGATGTGGTCAAGAAACCAGGCCAAGACTAGGTCTGGGGCCACTGTCCCCTCCCCCCTTGCCATGATCCCTCCCTGCTTGGTGGCCAGGGATGTCCATCTAGGTTGATTAACAGGATGTTATAACCCAGCCAGAAACACAGTTGATGCTTCTAATTCAAAGAAGACACCAACTCCTCCAGAGTATTCCCCCTCCTCAGATACTAACTCTCCTTGGAAAGTCTTCACCCTCCAGGAAAGCGAGACACTAAGAGAGGACAGGCCGAACCTCCTGTGTGCTGCTTTCAGTGCAGCACCCTAAGCCTGAGTGCTCTCCATCGAGAAAAACCACAACGGTGTCTAGAAGGCTGACTTGCAGGAAGGAATGGAAATGCAATGCTTTGGAAATGTCAGGTTAACGTTAAACTATTATATTATTCATCAGGTATTTTTTACCCAACTTACATATATATTAATGATTCAGATATTGAAATTCATAAGCATCATAGAAAAATACTTTAAGCATTTCCAATCACTTTTTAGAACTACAGGAAGAATGAATAAGATTTTTATTTCAGAATATTTTCCACCACACTATAATGAACAAAAAGCTCAGTGTTCCGTTTTAAACCAAAGCAGAGATTAAATTAAAAATGAAGCTTGAACTGTACATCTAAATACAAAAGTGGAAAAAGAATCTGAACTGTGGGAACAATCTTCCCCAGACGTACCCTCCTACAGCTAGCATTTAACACTTCAACTCCCCCAGGCCCTGCATCTTCCCAGGACTGACTCGACTCTCCTGTGCCAAAATGTGCCTGATTAGACAGAAGAGAAGCATAATTCAGTTCAAAATCCAAGGGAAAAAACCTGAGCTTTGGTTTGAAAAATGAAAAGCTATTGGGGTAAGATAATATACAATATACTCCAAACCTTCAAATTATCAGGATATTTTAATCCAAAGACTGACCTCAAATAAGAGACTGCCCCAATTAAGGAGGACCACAGAGCACAGCTTCCAGAGATCTGAGACAGAGGTGTGGCTGGAATCCACGGTGGGGACAAATGTCAGACAGTATGGGCACAGAGGACAGTGAGCTCTGAATGAAACCCTGCCCATTCCCTTCCTCCCCCAGCACAAGGCTTTGGGCTGAATTATCGGGATAAGTTAATGCACCCTGGTCAACTCCTGGAGCAGGTCTTCAAGGGCAGCTGGTTGCTGAAGAGGAAACATAAGGGATCCTATTCTCAATTCTAAGGCACACTTTCAAGGACAGTAACATCTTCAAAGTCTTTTCTATAAACTGTAGGTCAAGGCCACTCTGAAATTATCCAGCTATTGATGAAACAGCCTGCAAGTACTTTTCCTTCCCTTCCAAGGTGCCAGCGTGACCTGGAAACACCGCCTCTCCCACACATACCACGGAAAGGGCATCCGAAGGCACCAGCAACCCCCCCCCCCCCCCCCGTGTTTCCAGAGACACCAGACCATTAGGTGCCTGCAAACACTTTCCTGTCTGCCCCCAGCCACTTGTCACCAAAAAAATAACACCGCTGCCCATTCTCAGATGACTTTTTCACAATTGGACTTGATTTTTCCTTAACTAGAGACAAAAAGTCACTCAAACGAAAAGCCACTCCTTGCACAGGTGTCGGATGCAGGGACCGCACCCGAGGCGGGTCAGTCCACTCACAAAGCCACCGCAGGCAGGACAGACTGCTCTGCAGCGAGCAGAGGGCTGGGCGCCCAGGGCGTGGCCAAGGACAGGCGAGGCCCCAAACCACACCCAGCCCAGGGAAGCACCAGGGTCACCACGAACCCCCAACACAGCTGCTGCACCATGCAGGGCGGGAGCACGAGCAGCGCCACTCTGACTCTGCTCTGGGCAAGGCCAAGGCCAAGTGCGGCCCCGTGCACTGCAGGTCCTGAACCCAACACTCCCGAACCCCAGATAAAGCTCCCCTTCAGCAAAGGCCGTGGAACATGAGCCTTCAGGTCCCTGAACTAGCCCCAAACCTCAAGTGCCAGTTTTCCAAACAGACCCGCTTGCCAGCTGGCCGGAATGGGAGCACCAGGGGACGCGTATTTAAGGAACCCAACCCTGAGATCACTCATGGAAGGGGAGAGAGGCTGGGATCCTGCGCCAAGTAAAGTAGCCTCTCGAGAGAAGGGGTCTTCTGTCTGTTCTTGAGTTGGTCAGGCAACGCGGCGGCCTCAATGTCCGATCCGCCCAGACAGAGTGCGACTGGCCCCGCTCCCACCCTTGGTCCTCACGGTGACCCCACCCAAGACGTGCCTCCCCAGGACCCCAGAGCCGGGGCCCTCCCGCTGCGAGGGCCCAGCGTGCCGCCTCCAAACGCCCAGGGTGCGCCCTGAACCCTCGCAGGATCCCAGCATCCCCGCGGCATGACCCTGAGCCGCAAGAACCCGGCCCGGCTCCCGGCTCCCGCCGCAGCGGACTCGAGTCCCAGGCTGTCGGCTGGGACGCAGCGCCCGCAGTGCGACTGGCGCTGCCGCCGAGGCGTAGGGCCCACCGCCCAGACCCGGACCCCGCGGTTCGAGAGGGGCGTTAGCGCCGCGTGGGGAGCAGCACCTCCTACCCGGGGGAGGCTATGGGCCCCAGATGCTCTCACCGCCAGGTGACAGAAGGACCCGTCCCCGAATTCGAGAAGACATGGGTGGGGAAGAGACCAGAATGGAGACGTGAACAGGGTCGAAGTCGGATCGGTACTGGTTGGGAAGGGAGGGCCAGGACAGGGGCATGAGGACCCTCTCTGGATACAAGGAAGAAAGAGTCTGTCCGGGACCGGAGGATTGGGAACCGGGGAATCCCTACAGAACCTGAGGGAAGAGGAGAAAGGGGCTGTTCCGTAGAGCGGAGGTAGGTTGGGAGGTCCATTATCCGGGGCCCAGATGGGGGAAGGGGCGGCGGAGAACAGGGGAGGCATCCTTGGTGCAAGAAGGGGGCACCCAGGAAAAGTAGTAGGGGGCTCAGGACCGTGGGGTGCGAGCCCGGGCCAGTCCAGGATCGGGATGAGAAGGGAAAGGGGCAGGTTTGGGCCGTAGTTAGAGGGGGAGGGAAAGTGCACCCAGGTTTGAGAGTAAGAGCAAGAGGGTCCCTCTAGTACCGGGGCTTAGGAACGGGCGGAAGGGTCCGAGCCAGGGGTCGGTAAGGAGATGGGGGTCTGCTCAAGTCGCGGAGTGGAGGGAAGGGGTGTCAGGCGGTAGGATGGAGAAAGCCTTCATGGAAAGGGAAAGGGGGCCTGTCTCGCCAGGGAGGGACAGACAGCAGGTCAGTCCTGGGGGAAGAAGAGCGCAACGCAGAGGGCGTCCGGCCCCGGTTCGCTCACCTTGGGTTTGTACAGCCACTTTCGGAACCTGTTCATCATCGCCGCGCGGGCCCCGGCCGGCCTCCAGGCGGCCCTCGCTCTCCGCAGCGCTGCGCCCGGGCCTGGCCGCGGCGCGGGGTGGACGCGGAGGCAGGGCCAGGGCCGGGCTGGGGCCGGGTCGGGCCGGGCCGGGGCCCCAGCGCCGGCTGGGTGCGGCTGGTAGCCAGCGGAGCCCCAAACGCCGGGCAGTCGGCTGACAGGCGCGCGCGGCAGGTGCGCGGCTGAGAGGATGCTCCGCGCTTGGCACGCTGGGCGGACCGAGACCCGCGGGCGGGCGTACAGACAAGCGCGGGCACGGGGCGCGCGGCTCCTCGCCGCTCACTGGCACCCCGCGCCTCCGCCGGCCCGGCTGCCCCACGCCGCACATGCGCTGAGGGCGCCGCGAGCCCCAGGCCCGCGGCGGGTCGCGGGCGGGGCCGGCCCGAGGAGGCCGCCAATCCCCGCTCGGCGCCGCGCCGCGCCCCACCCCGCCCCGCCTGCCGCGGCGCGCCCCCGAAGGTTCCGCCACGCTCGCGAACTCCGCGTCCTGGCGCGCACCGCGGGGCGGGGCATACGCAGGGCTCCGCGGGTTACGGCCTCCTGCGCGGAGGTTGCCAGGCGACGGCACCCAAACGAGAAGGTCCCGCCGACCCAAGACAAGGGGGCGCGGCTGCGCTGCGGGGACCCTCGCCCCTGCCAGCGCTGGGTCCGCGGCTGCAGGCGGAGGCGCCGAGGAGGTCTGGCGGCAGGCAGGTACCGGGCGGCGGCGGGTGCGGAGCGGTGCGGTGCGGGTGCGGGCGAGCGCCGCCGGGAGGAAGCGGGACGCGTGGCCGGGTCCTCGGCTCACCCGCGACCTTCCCCTCCTGCCGGTTCTCCTCTTCCTTGCTTCCTTCCTCTGAGTTTCGCTGACATCTCCCTCCCTCTTTGGTCTTCTTCCCAACTCCTTGATCGCAGTTAACGGTGTTTTCTGGTGTTGTGTGTTGTTGTTGTTGTTCTGTTTGGTTTTAATCTCCACAATAAACAGTGCTTTTTATAAAGACATTTTCTGGGATTCACTACTTCCTCCAATAGTGCCCTAATTTGGATCTATTAAAAACGCTCACACACACACACACACACAAACACACACAGACCCACCAAAGTTTGAGTACCTGTTATTTGTCAAGTAGACAGCTAAAACACAAATAAGTGGTCTCTCTTAAAATTCTCCTGTACAGCTGAAGAAACAGGCGCAAAGAGGCCCCGTGTCCTGGCAGTAGGAGCGGATTCATACTGCGGGAGGTCTGTCCTTTCCATCCAGCGCCACTTCCCTAAGGCACAGGAGAGGGAGGTAGGCCTCCCCTGAAACAATTCAGAAGCGTTCCCTGCTCCAGCCTTCTTATCCTCTGTCCAGGGTGCTGGTGTCTAGCTGGTTCCCTCCAGGATGGCTGCTCAGATTCTTGCTAGCACCTTCTGAGCCCAAGTACTAGATGAAAAAGAGAAACGAGTTTCTAGAAAGGAAGTCTTCTACTTCTGCGGTGGAAGAACTTAGCCTCATGACCATGCAGAGCTGCCAGGGAGGCTGGGAAATGTCAGCTTTCAGTTGAGCAGCAATAGGCCCAGCTAAAAAAAAAAAAATCAGACTTTTGTTACTTAGGAGAAAGGGGAGATTGGAGAGGAGACTCAACTAGCAAGACCAGCCACTGGGGCTGTGCTTGAAGCTTAAGCAGTAGGGGTGTGACTTGGCAGCAGTCCTTAGAGAACCAGCTTTCATCATGGTAAAAGAGCATATTTCAATTAATATACATGTGGGATCTCATGTAAATGAGGTCCCTATTGGTTGAGAGTTTGTGTCTGATGGAATCTAAACCTCCATAGACTCCCATTTCTGTCTATAAATGTGCTAAAAAAAAAAACAAAAACAGCTCCAGTCCAGCCCACCTTTCAAGTTATCTTAAATATGAGGTAGTCAAGTCTTGATTAGTGGAGTTAAAAATCAATAAACTTGGGAATTAAATCCCACCTAGATGGGTTTTTAACCATTAAAATAAAACTGAGGGGGGGGGGGGGTGGCTCAGTGGATGGGCACTTGCTTAGCATGTGTGAGGCCCTGGGTTCCATTTCCATCGCTGCAATTAATAACATAAAAGCTAAATAAAAATAAAATTAAGCTAAGAATGAATGAACAAATAACATTGAGGTGCTAAAAGCATGCCAGAGAATGTCCATTTTCTACCCAAAGACATGATTGTGTGGGCTCAAGTCACAGGGTGATGTCAGTGGGGATCCAGAACGCAAGCCTCCTTTTCCTCATGCCCACTCACAGTGCACCTGCTCTGTGCCAGGTGTGGGGTGCAGGGCCCTGCCCTGGAACACAGCCTGACAGTGAGTGGAGAAGTGCGACGAGACAGGAGGGCCTGAGTTGGGCTGGGCTCCAGAGGAGCCCCTCTTCCCCCTTCTTGCCTTCTGCTTGGTGCATCCCTTCACTCCTTCCAGTTCTTTCCCTCCAGGTCCACTCTGGATTGGCGAGGGCTTGCATGAACAGGGGCACCTGAGACTATTGGGGTTTTATTCTCTTACTTCCTTAGAAAACGTTATTGTGGCATTTATCTCCCAATTGGATGAGATAGAACAACTGAACTCTATTGCACTATAGAATCCATGTGAGTAAAGGTTTAAAAACGTCTATTTTTAAAAAGAATGTAATATGACCATTGAGTAGGTCTTATTTCTGCAGAGCCATCTTTCAGATTCAAACTCAGGGCACAGTTTAAGGACTTGGTCCTTTTTGTGTCACACTCAGCATTGATTCCACAGATGTTCCTGGGTACTGGTGAAGTGCCAGTCCTGGGGTAAGGGCCAGGACTCAGGTGGGGAAGCCGGGCCCCTTCTGTGGTGGTCAGTGCTTGAAGTGGGTGTTTAGATGGCCTCAAGGAGACCTGCAGGAGGCGGGAGTGGAGAGGAAGCAGACCTCTCTGGTGTTGATATCTGAGCTGGGTGTTGACGGACATCTAGGAGTTTGTCAAAGAAAAGAGAAAGGGAAGGCTTGTTTGAGGTTCAGGGGCCATGTGTGGAGGAACTTCTAAGCCATTAAGGGACCCAAGTGGACAGGGCAGGGTGAGGAGGGCCCCAGGATGGTGACCTCGGTTTGTGAAGGAGTTGGGACATGCTGAGAAGACCCATCTGGACCACGGCATCTGACAACGTAGGGTCTATTAGCAGTGGACGAATGGATTCCTGAAGCCATGCCTCCCCAGACCTCACCCACCCCTGCAGCTCAGGCCCAAAACTTGGGGTCCCCTACTATTTTCCCACTAGTACAGGCCCTCAGGAACACTGCCCTGGGAAGTCTAGGGAGTGGGCTTAAGGCCAGGCTAGGCAGGCCTCCTGTGGACATGTTCACAACGAGGCCCTAGAAAAGGATTCCCACCAGCACAAGTGACCAAGCGTGAGGGGTGCTGCTAGAGGAGGGTGTCGGGTGAAGACGAGCCCTTGCTGGTGACCCTCCTGGTCTGCTTTTGTCCACTAGTCTGAGAAAAGCCAAGATTTTGCTGAGGTACAGACAGCAAATCATGGAAATGGGTGTCTCCTCAGAGCTTCTCCCAGGAGGCCACCAGATAGTGTCTCTGCTGCCAAGGCAGGAATAACTAGGAGCAGGGAACCTGAGAAAGTGTGGCTCTCTGGAGCCCCCCACCCATAGGGCTGCCTGGGCTGGAGGGCCCTGGCCCCACTGGGGTTGTTTTCCACTGAGGAGCAAGCAAAAGTGGAATGAGGGCCCACGAACTATGCCAGCTCATGAGGGTGCAGGCCCTGCAGGGCTAGGGTCAATGGCAGGAAAAGACCAACAGGACAAGGGCAGGCTGGGCAGGAACCCACCTGAGGGGGCTTCAGGAGCCATGCCTAGGACCTGGCATCAGGGCACCTGCCATGGTAGGTGCAGGTCTCAGGAAGGGACTCTGGACCCAAGCTTTGGGCACCAGATCCCCTGGTTCAGTTACCACAAAGGCCCCCATAAACCCACATCTCTCTCATCCCTTCCAGGTAAGTGGGCCTCTCCTGTCCTTAACCCCACCCATTTTCCTCCCCCACCCTGAGAGCCTAGGGCACAGAGACACTATGCGCTTGTCTTCCACTGGACCTCCCTGGCTGCCTCCTGCCTGCCTGCATCCATCCACACAGCTACAGGTGCTGTCCTCCCAGTTACAGGATGGGCACAGCCCACCCTTGAGCTGTAGGCAGGGTGCTTCCTTTTGCTTCCTGCTCCACAAGTGGCCCTGTCCCTCTCCTAAGGATCATGTCTGAAAGAACCCCCAGTATGAGTGATTCTCCTGTTCATAGTTGGTGAGGCAGACCCCACCCAAGGGACAAAACTCAAACCCCTCAGTGCCCAGCCAGTGCCTGTCCTTATCCCTGCTCTGTGTTCTCCAGGTAGATGGCAGGTCCACCCCACTGTACCCCCCCAAGGACCGCAGTTATGCTACGGAGTTTTAAAGAGTGTCCCGTTGTGGGTGACTGTGGTGAAGACAGGGCCAGGACTGATGATCTGCTGAGCTCCCTCTCTTCTGGGTCTGCCTGGAGCCTCCATGGTTCCTAATGGTGCCTGGAGGGAAAACCACAGGTTCCAACCCCAAAAGCACTCTCAAGAAAGTGGGCCCGGCAAGCTAGACATTCCCCCTCACGGCCATGTGACAGCTGCTCAGATCTGCCTGTGTCACCAAGACTGGTCTGGGCCTGAGACTAAGGACAAGCCCTGACCCATCCCTACCAAGCTGGGTGCCTGAGCTACTCAGACCCTCCCAAGGAGACTCCAAGGCTAGGGTGTCACTCAGTATGGAACACTTGCCTGGCATGTGAAAGATCCTGGGTTTGATCCCAAGGAGGAAGAAAAAATCCCACAACAGCAACAAAAAAAAACCCAACCAAGGACAGGACACAGAATTCAGCTCCGAACCCGTCACAGAAGGGGGAGCAAAGAGCAGGCCCTCACTGGTCTTTCTGCTCACTCCTGTAGCAAGGGGACTTACTAGAAGTGACCTGAGTTCCAAAGAAAACGAGAGGACCCTGGTAGGCAAAGGGGGGTTGCCTTCTCCCGCTGCGCAGCCTTTGAGTGAGCAGAGTTTTCCTGCTCCCTGGA